GCTTCCCCCAAAATATAAATATTCTCCCCCAAACCTCAGGATACTTTAGCTACTAATGAAGCACACAGAAGAAAGCACAATTAAGCCATGGCTTATTAGAAGCAAAACTAAATCTCTTATGCAGAACTGCTAAAAGAAGGTCTGGATCCTGCTCTGAGCTGCATGCAGAGATCTGCAAACCACCATGGAGCTCTACAGAAACCACTGATGCCTTTTCCATGGAGACCTGGGGCCTCAGCTGGAAAGTCTTCAGCTGAACTTCCATGGAAATCAGTAGCCAATGTTGCTAGTGAAAGTGTCCAATTTAAGAGCATGTGACAACTATTTTTTGCAGAAATAAACAGCCATTTTGAGGAGGAACTGTCACAGACCAGTTCAGACCTAGCCCAACAGCCAGCTTTGAGAATGGGGAGCAGTGCTATAAGCCCCTCTCTCACCAATGGTATCTTCGAAGTTTTGTTGTTGGTGGAAACCGTATGGTCTGTTGCTATGAGAAAATGCCAATGGCATCTACAAAAAAATAATTGCAAATTAATTTTGCACTTGGAGAGCAGAACAGTATGCATCATCCCACAGTTTTACTCTTTTAGCCTTTGGTCTGCATAAGAACAGCGCTGAGGCCTGTGCCCCAGCAAACCAATCCACCTCCCCCAGAGCATCTGGAGCAAAGCCTAACAACTAATGAGAATTTCCTACCCCCACCTCCAGCGAACATCCACACCACTGAGCCACGGCCTCCTCCTCCAGCATAAAGCCTATTGTAGCTCCTGCTTGACAGTAACCATTTTGCCCACATGACCACATTTACACTGTGCTCTGGGATTACCTGTTTTTCCTCTGACTGCTGCAATTTGCGTGACTCATTTGCAACATGAAGTGCTAAAATGACTTCCTATGCCTTTGTCTGAATATAAGCAATTATGACAGAATCTGAGGCTCGTGAAGGAAAGCCCTGCTTACACAATTACACCTGCGGCATAGCTGTCAATTCCCGTGGTTTGAGAAAGGCAGCAACAGCAGAAACTTCATCAGAGCATCACGTTTGCTCGAAGATGTGGCTGCAGACACATACTGCTGCATCAGGAGGGAAAGGATGAGCACAGAAATAGATTTTTAGCAGATTTTGACAGTATCTGGGATCACTGTGCTGGCAAAAGCCTGAATTCCCACGGCTGGGATCTCATTTCTTAATGCCAAGGACTGGGCTGTCGTCGGGTTAAGAGGAGCACCTCGCATCACTCCTCGGTGACTCCCCTGCTCACCTGGGAGAGATGACAAGCTTCAGCAGGTGGGGAGCTCTTTCTCCTGGGTGGAAACTTCTCGCCATAATAGCAGGGTGGATGGTGGGAATGAAAGAGGAAATGAGGAGAACAGAGGGAATTCAGCCTTTTGGAGTAAAGCCAAGGGAAGGAGGTTTATTCCATTACTCACATGCCTGTTAAATCCCATTCTGAACACTCCAGTGTGCACAGCCTGTGCGTGCTGCGCTAAGTTTTATTTAGAGTGGGAGGGACAGAAAATCCTATTCCTAATGGAAAAGAGGTGGATATATCAAATAGGGGAGTGGGAAAAAAAGGGGTGAGGCAACCTTATTTGTTTGGTGTGCCAGACTAGACAGTGAGAAGTCAGTCTACTTCAAATGCTCCATATTTCTTAAGGTCATACAGATTCAACTTCAAGATAACCCTCAGCATTCACCCTCCAGGAAAACACACAAAAAAATACTTACATTTATACACACATGTGTATAAATATTTACATCCCCCAAATTTTATTTTTTTAAAGCATGTCTGAACCTGAAGCCAGCTTTCCTTCCCAGATCCAGTGCTGACAGATATGCCCATAAAAACATTCACTTTTGGTCAGCATTTGAAGTTCAAGTGGAGCACTGCTTATCCATTGGGTAACTGAGGGATGCTGAGGCTTATCATGGAATGACCTGCCCTGACCTCAGCAGATCGCCCCACTGGGCAAAGCAGCTTCAACCTGCATCTCTGCCAGTGCTGGCTCCAATTAGCTCTCTGGCAAGCTACTGCTTTCTGCTACATACTATTTTTTTAAACATTTTTCAGTTATTTTGCAGCATTGCACCCCTTTCTGCATTTAGGCTGCTGTAGCTAGAAATTCCTGTTGCAAAGGTGTTCAGTGGTGGTGACAATGAGGACCTGATCTTGGCTTGGAAGTGCTTGGGTGCTGCACCTTCACAAATGCCACAGATCAGGTTTTTTTTCCGAATAGGTTTAAAAAAAACCCAAACCAACAAGACTAACCAGAACCTAAACATTTCTTTAGACAGCAGAAGTGAGACAACCCAACAGACATGGACTTACTCTACAGCGGTTGTCTTTCCTCAGCTGTATCTCAGCAGAAATAAGGGACAGAACTTGTAATTTCCTCCTTACTCAAGATACACAAAAAAGTAATTTTATAGCAACATGTAGAACTTGTATAAACACAACTTAAGATTAATTTATTTATAAAAAGTTAAACAAGTCATTCCTGGCTTCTGTGGGGACCATCTGAAGCCCACAGGAGGCAGCGCCAAGAAAATGAGAAATCAAATCAATCACTTTTTGAAGCATAAACTGGAGGGAAACAAGACACACAAGCATTATTCATTCAACACAAAGTGAAACATGCTTTTGTTTCTAATTACTACCTCCTTTGCATCACCTTGCTTTACTTAATCTCAACATGCTTTACAGAGAGGAGGAAGCCACGGAGAAGGGTCAACCAAATTCACTGGCATGCCATGAGCAGGACTAGACCCAGAAGCTCACTTCCTCAGCCCTTATCCAGTGCTCTTCCTCTACAGGACATGGTTCGTGCAGAATAATTTTATTTATAGCTAACATATATATATATATACCTAACAGCAAAGGATGAAGATTTACTACCCACACCATGTTGTGAGGGGCACTGCAAACTGCATTTGGACACCCTTCCTCCTGCCCAGCAATGGGAATCAGCCTGAGAAATTAGTATAGAAATTTAGCCTTGAATTCAAACAGCAACATGCTTTTCAAAGAACAGCATGTACTGGAGAGTGATAGGTAGCAAGGCTGACAGCTCATCACCCAGCATTTCTCCATTGTATGTGGGTTTCTTTTTTAATAACAGACTCCCTGCAGCACTGCCTGCTGTACAATGCTTTAAGGGTAATAGTGAGACCCGAGGAGATTCTTAACCAATTGTTAATCACCAGTCAGTGTTTGGTATGCTCAGAAGAACTGAGCTCAGCTAAAACCAAGCCAAGAGTAACTTCCCCAATCAGTCACAGACTAATGATTTTCCTCTAAAAATGTTATGTATGGCTTGATGCTGTTAACAAGTGCCCTGAATCAATAGTTCTGGCAAATGAAATTGCCTGTTCAGAAAGCAATGGGCACCCAGCAGCAGGAGAAAGATGGCAGCTGCAGTACCTCTGAAACAGTGAGTGCAAAGGAGCAGGAAGCAGAACTTCAAGGACAAAGCAAAGCCCTTTTCCCCCCACCTTCCAAGAAGCAGCACCACAGACCTTCATTCAGGCACAGGGACCAAATTTTGTGAGAAACAGCTGCTTTGGCATCTGCTGAGACCAAGGTGGGGTTAGATTGTATGTTCTGGTGCTGAAAGTGGGCTCCACTTGGGAGAGCTGTTCTGTTACAGCACTGCACACAGACTGCATGTGCAATGGGACAGACCAAAAAAGACTGGGTAGGCAAAAAATAAACCTCTCCTTCCAATTTCCTTTTCTTGTGATAGTGAATGGTGTGGGCAGCAAAGACAATCCTTGGGTTAAAAGCACCAGGGTAGACCTTAGGAGAGCTTTTTTTTTTTTTTCCCCTTTGCTGCCAATTTCTTTTGCTATTTTAACTTCTTTAGCCCCAAACCAAGGCATTTCTGAAAATCCACATCAGCCACAAATTTAGTGCAGGCCAGGGTGTTCTGCTTTTCATGGTACACTGCCCTCCCATACCTCTAAATCAGCATTCTTTAAGAGGCCTTTAAAAGAAGGCACACCAAAGCCATCTGTCATACTCCCGTTTTCAGTTCAGTAAAGCTGGAACTATTACTTCCATCACTAGTACCTCCTGCCGAGGTAAGCTCTTGGTTGCTATTATATGGATGCATGGTACTCACATATGAGGTCCCTCTTCTAGTAGAAAACTGGCGTAAATCAAACAACTACACCATTTGTGAAGCCAGCTCTGCACAGGGTAATTTTCATGTCTGCACTAGGCCATCCATTGCCAAGTTCCCTGGATGGCCAGCAAAGACACAACAGGATCCCCAAACTGGAAGAAATTAGGTATTGTCTTTTCCATGTCTATTCAAAATAGCAAAAGGTCAACTCTGTCCCCTGGCTGGATGATACTTCTGGGCTGCGGGACATAATATTGACTATTTGCACAGGCAAACAGCAACTGCTTCAGCTATCTCAGGGGTAAGGGTAAGGGAAGGAGCTGAGGGCAGCAAAGGACCCAACCCCTAAAAGCCAAAGCAGAAAGAGTTCTTTTAAGAATTCATTTGGTTTCAGCAATTCGTTGCCCAGTGTGAAGTCAATGCCGGGAAAGGCCTCACCTTCCAGAGGGGATGTGGCCCATAGCAATGAGGCTCCAGCATGCTCTAGCATAGTGGTATCACTAGGCTGAAGGTAGTGTCCCCTTGAGCGTCAGCCCTCCTGGATCTCACTTTTACAGAGAATTTAATATTAATGGGGCTGTATAGCATAGTTGCACTCAAGTGCCATTATCATTATTAAATGCCATCAGCCTTCACCTAATTGCCACCCATTATTGACAGATGTAATTCTCCACTAATCTCAAAAAATGGAAGGGGCAGCCAGCTTCAGCTAAACTCCCCACTGTTGCTTTTAACCTTCTCTGTCTAGCAATGTGCTAAACGACCAGGGTTCTGCGTGCTGAAGACAGACACATTGCACACAGCGCTGGACTTGGGAAAGCCAAGGGACCAGACCTTTTCCAATCATCAGGAAAGCAAACAAGTTGTACTTGCTTTTTCTACAGAAAATATTTATTTGCAAGAAATGAAAAGCATAACATACTTAGCTACATACATATTTAGGCTACAAAAGCAGGTAGTCTGTTCTCTTGTAGAATCAAGCAGACAATTTTAAAAAGGAAAAAACAGCAATTTCTTTCCACCCAATGGACACGTTTGCAGTGTGAACAATCAAGTGGGACTGTATCCAGATGACAGCGCTTGTACAAAAATAGAGAGGCCATTGAACACACAGACACGGAGTTAAACAGACTTACGGCAAAAGAACAGAAATATCTGCAGTCAGAAGAGACTCCAATGCAGTTTACCAAGTTGTTTAGGGGTGTGTGCTTTTGCTGTCCTTTTCATCTTAGATAGTTTTAAGTGTTTGCATAAACCCATACTGTATCCACAAACCCATACTGTATCCACATGAACAGAGGGAAAGGGAAAGATCAGCTGAAATGCCTCAGGGGTGTCACACACAGAGTGACTCAGAGTCACACGGTATTGTTTTCATGGCCCAAGGCAATGGCTTTGGCCCTCGATATGTATTTCTCTTCAAGAGGGTAACACCAGGTAATTCACCCTTGGAAGGCTCAGGGAATCTCAGGATAACTGATGTACTGGTATCGAAGCATGGCCCTCTGAAAGGAAACTGCTTTTCCTCCCTGGCATTTCACTGCACCCCCGGGGTGCTTAGGGCAGCAGAGCTCCGTGGCGGGGTGGGGTGGGGATGCTCCCACGTATGCGTCGATGTAGGCAAATTGTTCCATGTTCAGCTTTCTAAGTCACTTTAATAATACACATTAAAATGCCAACTGACCTGCAACAGGAGGGAAAAAAAAAAA